TGAGAGATCTGTGTTACAAAAAGAACCGATCCTAGCCTTCCATGTGTAGACTTACAGCCCTACTGTTGTGAACTACATTGTATATGTAAACCCCTCTGTAATGGGGATCGGAGCAGAGGACCCCGTGTTTACCCATATGTACTACCCTTAATTAGCATATGTACTACCCTTAACTATGAAGTGTGATGAAAAAAAACACAGGACCTGACCCTTTCAGATGTGTGTGAGAGAGACCCTCAAAAGCATAGATGTAATTAAAGCCAACTCATATGTCCTAATCCTTTCTCTATGTACAGTGCCATATACATTTGGGGACGTGATCAGATTCCCCATGTCCCAACTTCCAATGTGACTGTGAGCCCTCTCCAAACGAAAGTGAGCATGGCCCTCCTGTCCTGACATTCTCAGGGGCATGTAGGGCACTCTCCAATGTGGTGGTTGAAAGGCCCTAATTCGTCCTCACAATCTTCAGTGTTTGTGGAATCCTCTATAATGAGATTGAGCAGACCCCTTCCCCAGGTCCCAACCACCTTGCACCTTTGAGGATCCCTCTTCCACCTGGATATGGCCAAGGCACCCCAGGTCCTGATCACCTCAGGCAGGTGGTGTGCACCTCACAAGGTAAATGTGAACAGAGGCACCCACACATTTGACTAGCCATTTCAGGAACATGGGGAGCCTTGTGCAATGTAAATGTGAGGGGCACCCCCCCCCACCACGATGTCCTGTCAAACTCAGGCATTTATAAAGACCTCAACAATACGGATGTGAAGAGTGGCCCTCCATGTCCTGCCAATTCTGAGCACATGTGGTCCCTCCACATCATGAAAGTGAACAAAGCACCCACATATCATGTCCATCTCTGTCACATAAGAAGCCCTCAACCTTGAGGATGGGACAGCAGCCCCACCTGATCCTGATCATCTCAGGAGTGTGGAAACCCTCCACAACACGGATGTGACCAGAGCCATGCTATGTAGTCATCATCATGTACATGTGTGGAGCCCTCAACAATGTGGATGTGAACACAGCAGCACATGTCCTGACCACCAAAGGCATAAATGGGCCCTTCTACACAGCAAGTGTGAGCACAGCACCCCTTTAGCCCTCCCCCACACTCATCCTCTCAGGCAGGTGTAGAAAACTTGAGGTGAGCAGTGTTCTCCTGTGTTCTGCAAACTCAGGCACATGGGGCCCTGGAGGAAGATGTGGGCAGAGCCTCCACGTCCTGCCCACTTCAACTGTGTGGAGAACCCTCTACAACATGCGAGAAGAGCACCTTTCTCCTCACCTCCTCAGGTGAGCGGAGCCCATGGTTACAAGATGTGACCGGAGCCTTCCATGTCATGACAACTGCAGCTGTGTGAAGGTCTCTAAAACAATGTGAGCAGAACCATCCATGTTCTGACCACCTCTGGTATGTAGGGCCTTCTGTAATGTGGACGTGAGCGGAACACCCATATCCTGACCAGCTCAGGTATGAGTGGAGAGCTGTACAGCATGGACAGAAGCAGAACCACCCAATGTCCTGACCATGTCATGCATGTTTTCAGCCTCTTCAGCACGGATGTGTTCAGATTGTCTCTGCATCCTGACCATCTCAGGTGTGTTTGGAGCCATCTGCACCATGAATGTGATCACAGGTCCCCAGGTCCTGCCTCAGACGTGTGTGCAGTCCTCTACACAATAGTTACCAGTAGAGTGATCATCTCAGGTCAGTGTGGAGCCCTTTAGAACACAGATGTAAGCAGAGGCCATTTCAGGTTCTGATGATCTCAGATGTGGGTATACTCTTCTTCAATACAAATGGAAGCTGTGGGTCCTTACTGTGTCTGACCATCTCAGGGAGGCCCCTACCACATATATATGACAGAGCCACTCCCCACCATGTCTTGGTCAACTCAGAAAGTATGGAGTGTACTTCATCATGAATTTTAATCAGAGCCCTGACAATGTCCTGACCATATCAGGCCTGTGTGGAGCCCTCCTCCACACATCTGTCAGCAGAGCCCCACGTCTCGACCATCTGAGGTGAGTAGTGTGCTCATCACAGAAGTGACTGGAGCCCCATGACCCAACCACGTCCAGTGTGTGCAGAACCCTAATAAGGGAGATGTAACCAGACCCATTTCTATATCCCAGCCATTTCCCATCCTGTATGGAGTTCTGCACACTGTAGATAGGAGCAGTACCCCCTCCCCCATGTCTGACCGTGTCATCCACATTTGCAGCCTCTGTAACGTGTTCAGAATCCTCCCGGTCCTGACCACACCTACCCAGTTGTGTGGTAATGTCGGCAGAGGGCCCATGTCTTGACGTTTCAGGTGTGTGGAACTGTCTAGAAAGTTGGTATAACTAGAATCCCCCAATCCTCATATCCTGGCCACCTTAGCTTTGTGTAGAGGGGCCCTCTACAACGTGGATGTGAGCACAAGCTCCCTGCTCCATGTCCTGACCATATCAGATCTGTGTGTGGGACCACTCACACATCGAGCTTATTCCTGACCATCTCAGGGGTGTGTTGGTCCCTCTATAACATGAATGTGAGCAGAACCCTGGGTCTTGAGTATTTCAGGTGTGTGTGGAACCCTTTATAACGTCCATGTAAGCAGAGGGCCCCCACCCCATGTGTTTGGTCACTTGATGTGTGTGTTGACTCCTCTAAAACATGAATGTGAGTAGAGCCCCCATATCCTTACCATCACAGGCATGTGGGGAGCCCACTGCAACACATATGTGAGCAGATACGCTCCCCCGGCCACATCTAACCATCTCATGTGTGTTAAGTAGAGTTCACTGTGTCCTCATCATATCTCCAGAGCCTTCTACACATGGATGTGAGCAGAGGTCCTGGCCATCACATGTTTGTGGATCCCCGCTACAACACAGAAGTGAACAGAGTGCCTCCAGCCCATTTCCTGGCTATGTAACGTACACAGCAAATGGACATAAGCCAAGTGCCCACAGCTGAGCATCTCAGGCATGGACAGAGCTCTCTGCAAGCAATGTGAGCAGTCTCTAAGTCCTGACTGTCAGAAAGAGACATGAAAGCATGACATAAACAAAGCGAGAAGCAAACCACCTCTGTGAGCAAAATTAGCCTAAGCTATAACTGCTTTATTCTCCCTGTGTAACAAGTTGTGTTTGTATGTTGTTATATCATTTCAGAAAAATAAAGGAAATTAACATTCATCTGGGCAAAGTCTACACAGAACCAGAGACCAGCTTTTCTGTCATACACTTAAGACTCCCCAAAGCTGAGAGAATGTCCAAGATCCTCACTCTTGGCCTTGAACGTGAGAAACTAAGACTATTTCAGCCACTGACTTACTGTGGAGCCAATCTTTGGTGTTTAGACTAGGCATACTGCACAGAAGGAATCTGGAGCTGGGCACAGGGGTACATGCCTGTAACCCCAGCACTTGGGAGGCTGAGGAAGGAGAATCACTCCGAGTTCAAGGCCAACCTGGGATACATAGTGAGTTCAAGACCAGCCTGAACTGCATAGTGAGACCCTGTCTCCAAAAAAAAGAGAGAATTTGAAAGGTTAACTGAAAATACCCCTTTACATACTGTCAACCTACACAGCCAAAGCAGGACTGACAGGCTGGTTGGACACATGCTGCCCATGACACTTCCAACCCTGATGATTCCAGCAAAGGCCTCTAGTGACATCTTGTGAAAACATTCAATACTGCAGCCCACACACTTGAAGTGCAAGCAGGCTATTCATTAGACCCTGATCATGGAACACAAGACAAGTTGGATGTGCCAGCCAAAACTCAGCTCCAAAAAGAGGAAAGCCCTCTCTCTCTTGTTGCTTTTTTCTATCTTCTGCTGCCAGGAACTGTTGTGCCTCTGCCATATACCACCCTGCCGTGGAGCCAGCAAATTATGGACTGAAACCTCTACAAACTGTAAACTTAATAAACCTTTCCTCCTTAAAAAAAAGAGGAAAGCACCGAAGCAGGGAAAGATACCCTTCCCATGCCTGATTCTGTTTGCTGTAGGGAGGCATTGCTGAAACTTAAGACAGCAATCAAATGCCTGAAAATATACACTATAGAGAGGTAACACCTGCTGATAAGGGTGTGGGGCAACAGGGAGGTGAGTGTGACATTTTGGACAGCAGCTTGGCACAACATGTGTCCCCTTCCAGCACAGTGATAGCAACCGGGAGACCACACAGGATCCATCATCCTGGCAGAAATACCAAGATACTTGGGTGCTGTGGAGCACCACGCACCAGTCTGTAAGCAGACCCTCAGGCCAGTGGAAGATGCCCACAGTAGCGAGAGGAAAAAGCAGGCAGTGGAAAGACAGGGCTTGACCTTGATGTTTTAAAAATACATTCTTACAAATGCATAGAAATTTCTGGGTTCAAAAGATAGTAGGACTTATTTCCAGGGAGCAGGACTGAGAAGCACTTTTACATTCTTACCTTAGACCCTTGTGAATTATCTGAATGTCTACTGACCAAGTGCCTAAGAAAAAATAGCAAGTGATTTGAACTTCTCAGCGGAAAGCTCAAGTTGCACACTAAAAGATTTCACTTAAACGTGAAGATGGAGGGCTGGGGATATAGCTCAGTGGTACAGAGCCTGTCTGACAAGCATAAGGTCCTGAGTTCACTTCCTGGTACCCCCTCACAAAATGTGAGGATGGAAAAATGAACACGGGGTCAGCTGTGGAATCTTCAATCTACAGTGTCACATGAGAAAGTCATGGTACATGCCCATCATTCCAGCACTCAGGAGGCTGAAGCAAGAGGATTTTTGAGTTAGAAGTCAGCCTGGGCACACAGGAAGAACCTGTTTCCAAAAGCCAAAAAAAAAGCTTTAGATTTTGGAGCATTTCAGATTAGGGATGTTCCATCCATGACACTGGGTTCTTTAGGTGAGAACCTTCCTTACAGTGCTATTCAACAGAAATGTAACACAAGCCCTTCCCCTATTTTTAAAATCTCAAGAAGCCACAGTTAAATAAAAGAGCAGGTGAAATTAATTTCTGTATTTTATTAATTCATTGCATCTAAAATAGTATCATTTCAACATATAAACAATATTTTAACAATCTTATTTGCTTTTTTAGTATTATCTACAAATTCTGGTGTGTTTTTTATTTTTAACTTGGATACATCTCAATTTGGACATTACATTTTCATCAGAAATGCCTGACCTATATTTAGATTCCACAAAATTTAGTTATAGAGCTGGAGATGTAGCTCAGTTGTAGAGCACGTGCTTAGTATATGCAAGGCTGGGTTCCAGCCCCAGCACCAAAACCAAAAATGAACTGTTACAAATAGATTCATATATACAGGTTCCTAACATACTTAGAAGTATTCTAACAGCTGAACCAAGCAGTTTTTAAACAAGTATAATTAAAGATTTAATTGTTCTGACCGTATTTCAAGTATGCACTGACTAACTGGCTAATGGCAGCTGTGCTAGACAGATGTACAGAACAGTGGCCTGCCCAAGTGTGCCCCCAGACCTGCACCACAACCTGGGAGTAGTTCCAAAGGCAAATTTGAATCTACACAGACCTACATCAGAAATGCAGGGGTGGGCCCAGCACTCTAGGAAGAGCCCAGTGTTGGTCTGATGCACGCTAATGCCTGAAAACCACCAACCTAGATCAAGTACCACTAAACAAGACAGCATGGAAAGTCTCAACCACCTTTGCATGGAATGTAACTGAGCCTCTCACCCCCATTATAACTAGAGACTATGAAACTAGAAGAAAAGGTAGTTTGCTAGGACTTTTAGTCCAGATACACTGAACTGTCTCAGTGGGAAGTCTGGACAGTGTGGCTGGACTGTGGGGTTAAGATCAGGACCAGCTGGTATGCACTACTTCACCTCAGCTCTGACTGCCAAGGGCCTGAGAAACAAAGGACTTCATTCACACTGAACATAATGCTTGTGTCTGCGTCATCAAGGTCCCTAGAATGTGGTCCTTGCTGATCAAGCCATGATCGGTGACAGGAACACAATCACCATCCAAACCATGAGACTGTGGGCTACATACGTCAGTCTGCCCCTTGCCCCTCTCTGTTTCTTGGGTTTTCTGCTCTTCCAAAACATCAAACCAGCCCCATGCCTTCTGCCTGCTTTGTGGTTTTAAGTTACTTCTGGAAGTTTCCATCATTTCAACACCAGATAAGCCTTCATCTTGTTTTTTTGTTTTTTTGTTTTTGTACCAGGAATTGAACTCATGACCTCAAGTTTGCCAGGCAAGTGCTTATGCTACTGAGCTATGTCCCCGGCCCAAGGGCTTTATCTTGAACTGCTGCTATCTTGCAACTTTCTTCTTGGAGTTGAAACCAAAGCCAGACATAACTGAGCTGTCTCAGAGCCAGTTCTAGAAGCTTTATGGCAGAAACATCATGCAGCAGTTCTAAAACACACCTCCAGGAGCGTGCCAGCACCGTGGAATCAGAAAAGGACACAACTGACTCACATTCTCTCAGGGACCTTGAGCGGACTGAGGGCCACCCTAGACATGGAGTTGAGTAAGGCAAGAGAGGTTCCTCCTTTCCTTGGGCTCAGATGGCTAACTCAACACAGATGCTGTATGAGGAAGGTCCAGAGCTATGGACAGCTGTCTGGGTTTAAGGGACAGAGTCTTACAGAAGACTGGGTTCTAGACCAGCCAAGTCCAGGGCAGAGTTATTGCTGATCTGGCTCACTTGGATCCTCTGCTCTTGAAGCCACTTATTTCATCATTATGGTAACATAACGCATCTTAGAGTATTACTGAATATCCTCCTCAAATTTGTATGTATCATTGAAAAGTTTTACTGTCCCCAAGGAAAAGAAAGCACTAGAGCATCAGTCACCTGCGAGGCTGGAACGGTGCAGAAACAAGCTGATATGTCAGGTGAACAGAGTTCCCTCATCGCTTCACTTTCCATCTGGAAGAGACAAAAAGTGCAACTGTTTATAGACGCATCCTGATTACAGAAGTGGCCTATCACACAATAGGATCTTAGAGGCCGCAAGGCCACATCACAGAAGCAGCTGACAGGACTTAGAGCTGGAGTGAACTGTACTCAGGATTCGGGAGTCCTGCATCATCCTTCCATCACTCAGCTAAGGGCACCATGACTGCTGGGCACAGCGCCTACCCACATCACCACAGCTATACTCATTCATGCATGCACCTTGGACTCACCCGAGTCGCTGGGCCAGCCAACTGGAAGACAGGGCATTTAGAGCTCCTGATGGCTTAGACTCAGAGGCTCTTGCGGCCTGACACCTGCACAGAAAGGTCAACATCCAGTCAGTCTCATCATGTGCACCAAGAAAGCCCATCTGATCTACACAGCCAGGCAACTGACCCCAGCCTGGTTCAGGTGTGAACATGAGAAGTAACAGAGAGCAATTAAAAGCTAACTTATCCTTCCACTTCTATTCAACAGCAAATTTAGGCAAATGTTTTTACTGCTTAATATAGGTACTAGAGTTATGGATGGAATCATGTCCTACATCAAAGGACATACTGGGGTCCTGACCTCTGCACCTCAGAATGGACCTGGTCTGGAGTCAGGGTCTTCAGAAGTGACCAAGCTTCAAAGAGGTCATCAGAAGGGGTCTTCACAACAGGAAGGGAAGATAGGGCACAGAGGCAACTACCAGGTGACTTCCCCATGCTTCCAGGAACAAGAGGGGACACAGAGGTACACAGAGGGAAGGCTGTGGGAAGGTGATGGCACAGATCAGGGGCTGTGTCCACAAGCTGAGGCTCACTAAATTAGCCAGCAAACCACAAAAAGCTGGGGAGGCTGTGCAGGACCCTTCTGAGAGAGCCAATCTGTCCATACTGTGACTTCACCCTCCAGACTCATGAGTTTCTCTTGTTGAAGGTACTTTCTCTGGTACTTTCTCATAGCTATAAGAAACTAACACAAGCAGACTCCAATTTGAACTTAGAATCCAATTTTATTATACCCCCACTCTACAGCAAACACTTAGGATCAACAACTTTGTGCAGGTGATGCTAGAAGTTACCCCCCACCCCAGCCCTGAGTTCAAGCCGGTACTTCTTGTACATGGCACTTCCTGCCAGTTCAGCCACGGCCAGGAGCCATCCTCACCCGGCGCTACTGGCAGCATAGGTCCCAGCCCTGCAGCTGTGGTCCAGAGGGTGTCTGTGCTGAATGCAGAAGTTGTCACGACACTGCACACAAGCCAGCTGCAGCATCTCCTTCTTCCTGCATCCGTCTTTGGAGCACCGGTATGTGAAGACCTGAGAGGCAAGTCATATCAGTAGGCATTCTTTACCAGCCCCAGCCAGACCACTCATATTCAAGCTAGACACAGGTGTTAGGTCCATAGAATGAGGGTCTCAGAGTTCCATTCAGAAACCTTACTGCCAGGGGGAGAAGTGCTGATTAAGCCAGGAAGGTTGGAGACTCACAAGAAGGTAGATTGGAGGTGTCCCTGAAGATTAAGAAGAAAAGGACCTCAGAGGAGACAGGAGGCCTGGCAGGGACATGACAAGCCCATACCACAGAGAGCAGCTGGCTCTGGGGAGCTCTGTGGTCAGTGGGGGTTGCACGCCACTAGAGGCAAGGGAGCTAGAACATCTATCCCCCACAAACACTAGTCATGGATATTTCTGGAAGGAGGAGTAGGTACTGATATAAATTCCAGGCACTTCCAACTTCCTGTCAGAGACAAGTGTGTTAGAGGGTGAAAGGGCTGTCCAGCAACCTGGGAACAGCCTGGCGGCACAAAATCCAGGGAGGAACAGTAAGGGAAGATGGAGGTGGTGGTTCTGGGTTGAGCCAAGAGCGAGGGTCGCACTTCTCCAAAACTGTGAAGGGTGGCAGGCCAGGGGGGCTGCACGCTGGGAGAGTCCAGGGTGAGGAAGAGGACTAGATACACTTCCCCACAGAGGGGACAAATAGGGATTCCCTCCTTTGAGTGTGAAGTTGGACACAGAAAGAGTTAATGGGTCCTATATTTAGGGTAATTTATGCTATTAATGTGATTGCTATGGGACTTTAATGAAACCTACTGGTTAAGATAGCTGATAGCTACAAACTAGAATCTATGACTAGAAACTGATTCTACATGTGACAAACATCAATTACCTAGAAGAAAAGCTTTTGTTTTCTTGTTTTGCTTTTTGCAGGGGTAGGGATGGAACTCTGCGTCTCACACACATTAGGCAAGCACTCACCACTGAGCCACCTCCCCTACTCCATGTGGTTATTTTAATCAATGAGACCAGCAGACAGAGACAGACAGACAAAGACACACAAAGGCAGCTAGCCTGAGAAAAACAACCTGAAAAAATCTCCCCAGCAGGAAGGCACAGAGCTGAGGGCTGCTGTCTATAGAGGGCGCACAGTTGCCAGGTGCCTTGGACATATGGCTGAGGAAAGGGTGCACACATGTGCTGGTTTTGCCCCCAGAAACACCAGAAAAGTGACACAAGAAATCTTCTGAAGGGATAAATCCACAAAAGCAAAGAATATGAACAACAAAAAAAAAATACAGCCACAAGATTTTAGCAGGTAAAAAGCACCCAGACAAGTAGTAATGAGGTTGGCAAGCAAATGCCACAACTCAGGAGTGGCTGCATACCCCTCCTCAGTGCTGGCAGAGGCAGGTTCTGTAAGGCTGCTGAGCTGGCCTGGGGAGCAAGGCTGGGGGCAGGAGGAGCACTCTACGGTTCGGGTGGTCTTTGAGCTGCAGGCTCAGGTGCCATGCAGACCTCGGGCTATTTTTCCACTTGGTCAGGACAAGAGCAGGTATTTGGGTAGGGAGACGGACACTTTTTCTGGGGAATCTCATCAGCCCCAAAGAAATGGGCCCTAGAGGCCTCTGAAGGAGTGGACTGGGAAGATGACTCACAACGAAGGTGGAGTCCACTCTATACTTTCTAAGTAACCAGTTCCAAAGCAGGCATAGGAAAACCACGTTTATTGAGATACCCCCTAAAAAAGACAGGAAAGGAAACAGCCAGATCCTACTGGACAGGGAAGAGAAACAAGAATCCAGACAGTAGAGGAGGAAGTAAGGAAACCAGAAATGAAGAGAACATTCCAGAACCCCAGGGCTGGAGTTTCAGTAGAAGGGTCCAGTATGTACCCAGCACACACAAGATCCTCCAAAGTACCAGGAGAAAAACTGATCCTAGGCCAAGGCCAGGATGGAAATTCCCTAAAGCAAGAGCAATTGGAGGAAGTGAGCCATGCCCTCCAACACTAGGGAAAGCACAGCAGGGACCTTCACACCAGGGTGCTAAGTCTAGTCTGGGGGAGGCAGAGAACAAAGACCTTGAAAAACACATGGTCTCCATTTATCTCCCAGCCTCCCTCAGGAAGCAATCATTGGAGTGGGCCCAACAAAATAAAGGAGTAAGCTAAGAAAAACACAAGATAAGGGAAACCTGGACCTATAGTAAGAGAATGTGTGAAACCTGGATCCACCAGAAAAGCAGCAAAGGGACTCTCAGGGCTGTTCTCCACATGGTTGAGAGGCTTGGCCACCCATCCCAGCACACTCCAACTCAACTGCAGGAAGGGGCTAGAAGTTTGTGTGTGAGAGAGTGGCAGGCCAGCAGGTAACAGCTACATTGTTAGTGTACACTGTGGCAAACAGGCAACAAGAAAGAAGAGTGAGCAAGAAGACGTAGTCAGGATGAGACACACACATCTGCAGATAAGACAGGGCGTGGCCACCTGGGGGAATAAGGACCTCACACATTTTACTCCAAATGAACAGATAAACAACTTCAATAAAAATGCAGATACTACCAACACAAGAAGATGGAGTGTCTTAATTTTACATCACCTTACCTGCTCCTAGGTGCTTAGAAAATAAATGTACATGAATGGAAAGGTTCTAGAAAGCCTCTCTATCTCTGGAGAAACACTGGTGCATTACAGTAAAGACCCTAACCCAGGGGCTGGGGATTTAGCTCAGCGGCAAAGCGCCTGCCTGGCAAGCACAAGGTCGTGAGTTCGGTTCCCGGCACCGGAGAAAAACCAAAAAAAAAAAAAAGACCCTAACCCAGCATTCTCGTGCAAAGACTGTTTCCACAACTAGAAACTCATGCTACTCACCACATAGGAAAACAGACTTATCATTAAGGGTTTTACTTTGTACATAAACTGCCAGGGCTAATTTTCACAGTTAGAAAATTGACCTTTATTCCCCTTGAGGGGGAAAAAAATCAACATTCACAGGTCACAGAAGTGACCTGGAACATGTCCTTACCTTCTCCTTCTTCTTCCCAGGATGATTTGTGCAATCTCTGTCCATGTGCTCACCAACCACCACATCTGGTATCTCTCCCTTTTTTATGGGGATGGGGACATTACAAAGTGGACATACGGGGACCTGGACATCCTAAAAATAACGAATATAAGATAATACAGTATTTCAGATCCAGACAACAAAATCGCACACATGGAAAAGGTGAGAGTACAGAGCATGTAAACGGAGCAGAACACACAAACTGATGCCCCAACCACCAGGAGAATGCGGCCGTTAGGACAGTAGAGCAACAAGGAAAGTGTCCTCCAGAGGAATCAAATGGAATCTAAATATGCACAACTACGGGCCAGCTGTGGAAAGGACCCTGAGTGGGATAGAGGGGCCAGGGAAGGAAGCTGGTGAGCTCAATCAGCATCTCAGAACAACAGGGCTGTGTGTCCAGCACATGCAGGCAAGAAGACCACCTGCCCAATACTTGAGAGGGGAAGGAGAGGAGAAAATGCTGACATAAAGATTCTCCAGCTTACTTCAAGTGTCAGCCTGCTCCCTGATTCTTTGGTGGCTTCCCACACAGATTTTACAAATAGGAAGATTCACTTATTAGTGCACAGGGAAGCACACGCTGAAGCCAAGCACGTGGGTGCGTAACAACCATTCTCGTGGCAAGCCTGAGAGTAGGGGTCTCTAGAGGGACTGATATGGCTACCAGCAAGCAGGGTTAAAATCCTAAGCCAGGACTGGAGCTGAGGGAACAGGCCACAAGGAAAGCGAGGTGGCAGCTGACATCTGATCGATGGCAGTTATCACGGAAGTGTGGGCTGTAAATGGAGGCTGCCTGTAGGTGGAGCTAGAGGAGTCACAGGGCGGTGCTCTTTCATCTGGCAAGTTCACCTACTGAGAAATAAAGCATTCCTAGGCGTTTTCTAGCCACACTCCCCCAATATAGGGACATGGGAAGGTGCAGTCAACACAGAAACAGTGAAGCTGGCCTAGCCATCAGGGCCTGATAAATGTGAGTGTGACTCATTCTCCCCACTCATCCTGATGACCTAAATGAGGGCAAAAGGCCAGACCATGGCCAACTCTGCTCAGAGCATGTGATGCTAAGTCACCCACTCTCCATCTGCCACCAGGTGAAGTGTCGAATGTCAAAGTTCACTGAAATAATCTGTGAACCATTCAGAAACAAAGTGAGAGCAATGGCTAAGGGGCCACCTGAAAAGCCAACAGAGGAAGTGAAACTTGAGAGGCAGTTTTCTTACTGGTGCCATCCAGTTTCTATCATGTACAACCCAGATCACCCACAGAAGTTCTAAGGCCACACAGCACCTTTAACACCTTCCTGACTAGTCCTGAAACATTCCTTGCACCCCATAAAGATACAGCTGTGTTTTCCTTGGTGCAGATGGATCAAAGGAATGAAGAACGTAATGGGCAAAGAGAGTGCTGAAGGTTATGCTATATGGGAATAAAAGTGAAAATAGCTTTTTGGGAGCCAAGAGGAAGCAGTTTCTCTGTGAGCCTCACATCCAATAGCTGCTGCAGTCTGCCACCCCGACACGGGTCCAATCTCTAATTTCCAGACAAAAGGCACCATCTGGAAAGAATATGCTTATAAGACCACTGACTGTGCCGATTTCCAGCCTGGGGGTGGGGGATTCCTGCTGACTTGCTGACAGTTCCAGAAGACTTACTACTTCCTGATGACCCCTGGCAAACTGTCAGGGACAACTTAATGTATGAACAGACCTCAGCACCGAACTAAATTCATTCCATACAACTTGTGCAGCTAACAGGGCCAAATGAAAAATTTTAAAAGTTATTTCATCTTACCCCAGCTCCCTCCTTTTTCTCTTTAAAAACTCAGTCCTCTTCTCCTTTCCAGAACACTTGTCTGGTTTCTAACTAAACCCATATCTCCCGATGTAGAAATCCATTTGTACCTACTAAATAAAAACTCTTCGTCTTTTAACCAGTTATGATCTCATGATTCACAGTTACAACAGTTTGAGTCTACAAGTCCTGAAAATAAAATCTGAATAGCTTTAAAGCAGCACTGTCTAACAGAACTTCCTGAGATGGTGGAAAAGCTCCTTAACCATCCTGTTAAGTGGTCAGTAATCACATAACACTCAGAATATGTTCTGAACAGAATATGATGAATTACCTTTTTGAATGCAAAGGGACACTTATGGCCAGCATAAGTAAAGTGATCTTTACAGAAATCTTGTTCACATGCATCACATTTTAGTGGAAGAAAATCTAAAAAGAAAAAAAAGTAAAATATCTCTTAAGGATTTGAGGAAAAAATACTACAGATCATACAAAGCAAGTCTTTATACTAAGTGCTTCAGCACAGGTGAAAAAACAGCTTTGCGCTTATGAATTTAACAACGCCCAGTCTATAAAGCTATCTTTTCAAGAGAGATCCCACTTCATCCTACATCAAAATCCTTTAAGCAGTATTCTTGTATTCCCTTAGCCCAAGAGGCCAGCCTGCTGCCTAGCTTTAGGTGGATACTAAATAGCAACCATATGCATGCTCTTAAACAGACTTACCTAGTTGCTTGCAAGTTTTTTCTGAACAATGCTTCCCCAAATCAGGAAACTCCATTATGAAAACAGTGTTCACAACACAGATGGCAGTTAAGTATCACCTATGAGAATTAGGAGAATTAAGAGGAGATTCAGCTATAATAGCCCCAACTTAGTCCCCAGGACTTATAAACTACATAGCTAATGAGAGCAATCAGACACCCTCTACTGGGAACATTGAAAGCCTAAGTCATCCTGGGCCCTTGCACAAGACTAAGGTATCACAAATTCTTGTTGATGTTCAGTAAACAGAAAAATGGGAGTTTCAGCACAAACAACAGGTCTCAGCCTCAGAAAAAACCCCAATAAGAGAGATGGGCTTTTTTTTTCTTTGTTCTTTTAACCCCTTGTTAGTTTATGAAGCTCACTCCGATTTCTGGGTTTTCATTAAACCACATTTCAACTCATACTAAAAGGGGCTTCCCATATTCAATTCACACAGCTGCCAGGAAAAATTACTACCTATATAGATTTCAATTCATAATTTCATTTACTGAATATACTTGTCGACACAAACAAAACTCTGTTGCCTGGTGCTAAATCACATTAGTTCACTACGCTATTCAGAGGAGGTTTAGCTCTGTCCCTTGACTCCTTCTTTCCCTCTCTCTCTCCCTTCTGCATTAAGTTTTACTTTCAGCTTATTCCTTAATGACCTCAGCCCAGGGGTGATCAGGGCCAGGTGCCAGTCATTAACTAATTCATAATGGAAAACACATGAACCCCAGTGAAACCGCTGCACCGGAGAGAGCACTCCAATCCACAGCAGGGCTTATCAGGTCCCCATCACCCACCAAACCTCTCAGAAGTCCGGTCCCTTCCAGAGTTCAAGTAACGGAGGTGTTTTCCAGATTTGCCCATCAGTGCCCTCCTCCCTTCGGGAGTGCCCCTCCCTCCCAAGCCGTCCTATGCCTGGAACACTCTTACCCCTGTTAACACCTACGCGCCCCGTCAGTACTCAAGTTTGAAGTGCTACTTCCTCAAAAGGAAGCCCCCATCTAACTTATGCGCCCTCTATTCTTCCTCTGCTAGCGGCACTCACAGCTCCCAAGAGCAGTTTGTGCTGCGTGAGCCCATCGTGCACCCGAGGGGCATGGCACAGTGCACAAGACACAGCAGGTATTCCGAAGGTTGTTTTGTTGACCAGAACCTGATGTCAATCTCAAAATGACCTTATTCTTGACCACAACACTGGTCAGAGGATGCCTGACGCGGGGCGGGTCAATCACTCTACCTTGAGTGACACTTTGTCCATACAGGCTGGGGGCCAACAGCGAGGAAACGCCCCTCGGACCACCGCAGTAACCCCTTGTGCCCCCGGTTCGGCTTCGGGCCCTTACCGAGGCCCCACCCTGACCCCGTACCTGGCTCTCTTGGAGGACCAAGGCAGCTGCAGGTGCCAAGAGAAGGTCGCGAAGACGGAAAGGGTGTCCCTCTCCACGGTCAGCCTCACGGACCAAGGTAGCAAGACCTCCCCCAACACCCACGCAGCGCCAGATATGCAGCATCACGGTGCCCACAGCCCCAGCAATTTATACAGAACTTCCCGGGCCAAGCCTCGCCGGCCAGGCGTTCCCAGCGCACCCCAATGGCGTCACTCTCAGGTCGACCAATCCTGAGGCTCAGTTGTCTGAAAGGTTTGGCGCGTTCCGATGACGTAATTGGGCCGCTAACCAATCCCGCAGCGCCATGACCTACAACCCGCCCATTCCCCCTCCAGCTCGCCTCTTTTCTCGAACTGTCCAGAGGACTCTGGCGGCGAGCGGCTGAGTCACGGTGAAGTATCACTACGCGGGCTCAGCGGGGCCGCCGTGAGCGCTGGAAACTGAGTCAGAGTTCCATTTCCGCCGCGTCACCGCGTGTCCCTCGAGGGGCTCTCCGGGAAAGGAGGGGCTACAGGCGTCTAGGAGAGGGACGGGCGGGGAGCCCACTGCTGCGTTGGGTCACCTGGGGGCCGAGAGCTGCGGTTCTGGACCAGCGTTCCTTAGAAGTCACTTCCGGTCGAGAGAAAGATGGCGGAAACAGTGTGAAAATGCCAGTGTATTTTTCACTGGCCTCGCACGCCCCCTCACACCCCCATGTGCATCTTCTGTTCCTCATAGAAGTGTCCCTGTGACTGGCTCCCTTGAGTTGCCTTTTGAGCCCTCTTCCCTGCAGAATTTCCCCTCCTCCCAGGTCCTCTGGGTGAAAAAAACTTTCCCCTCCTTCCAGGTCCTCTGAGTGAAAAAAGCCTCTCCTAAATTTAACTGCCAAACCTTTCTTTAGAGTCAAAGGACCCAAGTGGCCCTTGTAACACTTTCCATAGTAACTAGCCCCAGGGGATGGGAAAAGACACTTGCTGAGGAAGACCTTGCCCCGACTGCAGCCGTACTGCCTTCCTTCCCTATGAAAACACTCCAGCCCATGTTCAAGGAGAGAAAGCATGGAGGAGTTAATGACCTTTGTCCTCTTCAGGGCCAGCCTTGAGTCAACTTGGCTCTTTCCTACCGACAGCTTGTCTCCTGGATGTTGACTCTAACACCAACAAACACTGCAGGTAGACTTGATTCAAGAATGCTCCTGAGTCCCGGTGCCGGAGAAAAACCAAAAAAAAAAAAAAAAAAAAAAAGAATGCTCCTGAGGAGTTGTTCCCAAGAGAAATACATGGTTAAGTTCCTAGCTCTCTAGACACAACAGTTGGGTCAACTGATCCTTTGTTAACCTTTGTGTTTTATGAAGAACACCTTATTAATATATATAGTTAATTTGTTAACATTGAATTAATGGTCAACAGCACCATCACATAAACCTGTGGTCCTTGGGCTGGGGATTTAGCTCAGCGGCAAAAGCGCCTGCCTGGCAAGCGCAAGGTCGTGAGTTCGGTTCCCGGTACCTCAGAAAAACCAAAAAAAAAAAAAACCTGTGGTCCAGTCTTAGGGGCAGAAAGTTGGGAAGGAATCACCTTCCTAGTGAAAGAGATACCTGTTGGGCTATAACTCTTCTAGAAGTTGTTCTTTGTGGCACTTGGAAATGCCAGCCCTCTTGGTAACATGAAGGTCAAACTTAAAGACCATGTCCAAGCACAAAAACAGCAAAAGATGTGAAGGACCCAGGCTGTTGAAGATATTGTTGAGCTGTTAACCAATTTCATTTCTCTAGACTTCTTGTGAGCTAACCTATGTCGTTGTTCAAAGCATTGTTGTTTTCTATTATTTGTAGCCAAAAATATTCTTACTGATAGGTGAGAAAAAGTTGTTTCAATTTGACTTGCCTTGTATGAGACAAATAAGAATAGTTGGAAAATAATTGGATTTGTGAATGTGGAGCTCAAATGAGATCTGGGCTCAAGAAATAAAGTCAGAAATCATCAACATAAGTATAAAATTGTTCCATAAATGTTCATGAGATTGTCCAGGGCAAGGAGATGGTGTGGAGACAAGGCCCTAGGCCTCTATCTATGGGGAAATCCAATATGTAAAGATCAAAGATGAATTAGCTTAGTCAGTGGAGAATAAGCAACCAAAGAACTGAGGAGGGAAGTAAAGAGAGAAGGAGTCCTTGTTTCCCAGGAGTGGAAGCCAGGGAAGAGAGATCTTTCAAGAAGTGATGAACTTCCCAGAGCAAGGTGGTGCTGAATCCATTGAATTTAAGGTAGGGAGGACACCAGTGCCTGGAGAATGGCTCCAGCGGCAGAGGCAGGAGTCAGACTGAAATGAGGGGAGAGCAAGTATGAAGTGGGGAAATGTACCAGAGTGGAAGATGTTAGGCATAACTGCACAACTAAAGAAAGACAGTGAATATGTGCCTCTGTCCAGCCTGGGTAAACAGGCGACTTCTCACTGGCCACTTCCCATAGGACACTCTCTTCTGCTTGGACACATAGTCAATATTACCTTTACATTTATAATTCATATGCTCCACAAATATTTATTGGGTGGCTGTTGTGTGCACAGCACCCTGTTAGGCCTCAAGAAAACAAGATGAGATTATGCTGGGTCCCTCTCTCCCCAGGAACATAGTGTCTTGTTCTTGGAAGAAAAAAAAAGCCTGAAACAGCAGGGCAGTAAATGTAAACATTGTGTTTAGGAGGTTGCAGGGCAGAGGCTGTCATTGTTATGAGTTCAGAGAGTAAATTTCCCAAAGCAGACTTGAAGAAGTTGGATGAGGTGTCTAGGGCTACACGGATAAAGACAGACCTAGTGGGCCTTTAAAATGGGGACTTAGACTGAGTAAGGGGCTCAAGGAGACTGCTAAAGTTGTATGTGGGTCAAGATGTGTATGTGACAAGAACCCCAGATCAGATTTCTTCAAAAGGGGAATATTGGCTCCCAAATTTGAGATATGCCTGGATCCAGGAACCCAAATGAGGTACTCACTGCCCTGAGTGCGGCCCAGTGACTGCTGCAGAACAGCCCTCCATATGTGGGGGAGCAGCTGCCTACAACCTGGGCTACAGCCATAACAAGGGAGTATCTCCCCCAGCACGTGTGCCAAATCTACGGCTGGACTCGTGGCTTCTTGAGCTGTGTTTTTAGTTTGTTTTTTGAGACGGGTCTCACTGTATCACCCATGATCCTCATTGTTTCCCCTTCTGAGTGCTGGGATTACAGGTGTGTGCTACCAGGCAGGATTTAAGCCATGTTTAGGGTGACTGCGTGTGATCCTAATTGGTACGGTATATGTTGAGAATGAAAATAAGTCCTATTAATTTATTAGAATAATAGGCATAAACTAGGTCTCTCCTGGGAAAGCAGGACATAACGTCACTGTAGCCATAAGTTCACTCAATGTGGACGCTGATGTTGGCCCCACCAGGGCACATAAAATGGGGGAGAGGTACGGTGTTATTGACAGATTAGGAGGGTCAAGAATGCTGGAGTAACAAAATTAACAGCCACTGTAAGTAGTGAGTTGGTGGTTTAAGGAAAGAATGAGAAAAACACTAAAGAATAAAGCACAAAATCTAAGGTAGAGGCAAGACCTACGACATCAGAGACATTTGAGTTTCATTTGATTTGTAATGAAGATAGATTATGTGTAAGGCTGGTGTTTGGGGAGACAAGTCTGGGCGTGAGTTGTAGAATATAAGGGGATGGTTCAGAGGATCTAAGACTGTATTAGCGGAGGTCTAAGCACTCAGGGTACTAGTTTAAGGGAGGTGGAAGGGAAGGACTATATTTAGGAAGAGTTAGAAAATAATCAGCAGACCTTATTGTCTGACTGGGTCTGAAGGAGAGAGCAAAGGAGGACATGTGGAGTATCAGATCTGGAGACCAGAATGGGCAAGGGTAGAGAGGCGGTACAATCAGATCTAGAATATCCGCTAAAGGCCTCATGTGCTCAGAGGTAGGGCATTTAGAAGGTGATTGGATCATGGGGTGCTGAGCTGAATGTGTTATTACAAGGTGGGGCTTGGTTGGAAGTGGGCTACTAGGGGTGTGACCTGGAAGAGTATCTGTCCCTCCCCAGCTCCTCCTTTCTCTCTCTGCTTCCTGACCACCATGAGGTGAGCAGCTGTCCTCAGCTCAGGCCCTTCCACCTTAGCATTCCTGCCTTGGAGCCAGGCAGCTATGGACTGAAACCTCTAAAAACTGTGAGCCAAAATAAACCTCTCCTCCCTTCAGTTGTGGGTGTCAGATATTGGTCTCAGCAGTGAGAAAGTGGCTAAGACAGGAGGTGACCAAAGGCAGCATTCAGAGATGATGTCACTTTGTCTGAGGTCATGTTGAATTTTGCAGAAGTTGCATGAAAAGGAAAACACAGAAGTAGAATTGGAATAAGTTAAAACTAAGATGATGGATAAGGTCTCCAATAGATTATGACGCAGGCAGACTGAGGATCTCTGCAGGTAGGGGAGGAGAAGAAGAGAAGTCACAAAAGAGACCCCAAGAAAGACTGGAAGGCAGGATAGTGATCAACAGTGGTCCATACTATGCTGAATACATGAGGGAGTAGGACTGCCAATCCTTTAAGACGTTTGACTGGAGGAAATTTATTACCTTTGAGAAAGTCATTTCCTTCCAGTGTGGTATTGCTCAAGATAGGCTGGGTCACAGCAGTGGAAAACAACAAAGGTCAATTCTCGCTCCCACTCCACGGTTGTGATCTGCAAGACTGCTCAGCTCTGCATCATCCTTTCCTCCAAAGCCTGGGACAATGGAGAAGCCACTCTTGGGGGCATTGCCAGCTATGGTGGCTCTGGAGGCCTCATACCAGCAACGACACCCATTGCCTACAGCTTCTATATTTGGTTTTTGCTCCCAGGTCATTGGCCACAGCCTGTCACATGACCCCAATCCTGTTATGTGTCTGGAAAGGAAGGACTGGAGATCCTTTTTTTTTTTTTTTTCTGAGACAGAGTCTTACTATGTAGTTTAGGATGCCCTTGAACTCACTAGGAGTGCAAGTTGGCTGCAGACACATGGTGATCCTCCTGTCTTAGCCTCCCAAATGCAGGGATTACAAGCATATTTTACCATGCCCAGCTCAGAGATACTTTTTGAACAGTAAAAATGACTACAACATAATGTAGCAGCAAAGGAGGAAGGTAAATGGTAGAATGTGCTTGTCTCATGTTCCCTCATGGTATCTGCACTGTCTCAGGGATAGTGTT